GAGCATGCAAGCTAACCGCTGCACAGCGCCTCGGGGAATTCGTTGTCTTCTCGGTGCCAATGGTGTGCGAGGGAAACCTGCGCACGAGGATCAATCCGTTCCAGAGCGTTCCGGAACGTTCTCAGAGCGTTCCAGAGCGCTCTGAGATTCTCGATGTATCCTCACCCGTTTTTAGCCTCGTCCTGGCTTCGTCTTATCATGATATTGATGCGTTTCCAGATTCACAAGATCGAGAAACAACCATATGACATGAACTTCTTGACGGTCCTCTCAGATCTTGGATCTGCACTGGGCCTTCCTGGCGGCGCCTCTGGCGGACCGACAACAGTTTATGTTCATGCCGCTTGTTGTTCCTGTACAAGGTTTCCAGGATGTCGATTATTTCCCAATGTTTTGCACTGGCTGCGCCGCTGGATGCTCTGGAATTCCTGGAAGGTACCTTCCGCCAATCTTCTCATGGCATCTTCTCGCCCTACAGTGGAAACCCATGCCACGAAACACCCTGCTTACCTCCAGGGAGCCCTGGGTTTCTTTGGTTTCGATGGTTGTGCTAAGGAAAGCGCGACGTTCCCACCAGGAATCAGTGGACGTCCTGGGGTCTCATGGTTGGGTTTGCTTGCGGAAGGCTTCTCGAGGCCGAGCTCGCTCCTGCTGTAGCTCGTCCCCCCCTCGTGCAGGCAGCCCCTCCCCCCGTCCCCCCCCGGGCCTCGCCGCGCCGGAGCAGACATCGTGACGCGACGGAGGCTCCTGCCAGCTTCGGAACACTTCGCGTGCCCCCACCCACCAGCCCAGTTCTTCGCGCAAGGGCTGCATGCTCTCTGCGCGCGCTCCGCTGCCCGCGACGTTCCCTCTCCTCCGCCCGCGCCCGTCCTTCCCCTGCCGTGTCCCGTGGTGCCCCTCGGCTGCCTCCGACCGCGACGTGGATCCTTGCTGCTGCGACCAAGAATCCCCCAGCAACCCACCCAGGAACGATGTCCAGGGGAGCTGCCCTTATCTCGGAGGCGACGGTGAACAGCTCAGGGGCGGACATTGCACGCCTTCGCCCGGGAACCTCGTCGAATACGTGGACCATCGGCGCCCCTGGACGCGTGGATTGCTCTCCCCTGGGCCATTCGCCCCCATTGTCGCCCCCGATGATCTGAGGATCGCGGCGCGATTTGGAAGATCTCGGGGGGCCGTCGTGCGCCAAAGTGGGGGGCCACATGCGAACCCCACCCCTACCCCCCACGATTTCTGAGGGGGAGGGTGGGGGTAGGGTTCACATGTGGCCCCCTACAAAGGCCTCTCTCGGATGCCTCTCCTCTCGGAGGCCTCGCCCCGCAGGCCGCCTCGCCCCTCGCTGGCAGGAGATCGCGGCGGAGGCTCCTGCCAGACTTCCACGGCCCCTTCCCCTCGTGCCGCCTCTGTGCTGCTCCTCCCTCGCTCCTCCTCTGCCCCCCCTTCCTGTGCCCTGCTTCCCTGCTCGAGGCTCCCGTCTCCCCTCCACGGGGGGGAGTGGGGAGAGTCACGGCTCGGGACGGCAGAGCCGGCTCCAGGAGGGACGGGAGGCAGAGCCTCTGGAGGCACACAGGCTGGAGAAGCTGCACGGCGTCGGAGGCCTCTGGCCCCTCCGCGTGGCCCTCCCAGGACGCGAGGGGCTCGGAGGGCACCTGCGCGCCAGACGGTTCACGATCACCGGTGGCCTTCTCAGAGGGGCCCCGGGAGGCTTCCAAGCAGGCTTCTCAGGAGCCAGGAGGGCCCTTCTGAGACTCCCCTGCTTTCTCAGAAGCTCGCCGCCTCCTGAGATCTCCTCGCGCCATCCCCATGTGCGCGCCGCCAACTGGCCAGCACCATTCTGGGCCCTGAGACCCTGCCCGGGCCTCAGGGCCTGTGATGTCGGATGTAGGGTCAGGGCCTGTCTTGAGTGGGGGAGGGGGGGAAGCGGTTCGAGCTGGGCTTTTGAGATGCGGCCTCGAATGGCGTTGTTGTGCATGCTGGCTCAGCCGATCAAATCCGACATCGACTTCTTGCCGATGGCAGCCCGATCCGGCAGCACATTTCGATTCGATTCGGTTTCGCCCGATTCGATGCTGGCGAATCCTGCCGTGGTTGGGCGCGATCCAGACGGGCCGAGGATCGTGAGGGCGCCAGGGCCTGATCCCGAGCGGACCTTCGCCAGTGGGGGGGCCTGACGCCCAGGCGCCGAAGAAGCAGGAGTCGCGACGACGTCTTTTGCCCCGTCCCGGCACCAGGGTCCTCGCGGATCCATCCATGGCCGTCGTCGTGGTCGTCGCCGTGGTCGTCGTCGTCGTCCTCGTCATTCTGTCGATCGAGGATGGAGGTTCGGGGATCGAGGCCTCACGGCCTCTGCATGCGCTTTGGGCCCCGGGAGACTCTCCAGGCCATCTTTTTTAGTCTTTTTGTTTTTGGGGGGGTGGCAGATCTCGGGGGAGGCCTCGGGGGCGTGTCGGCAGCCACGGCGCCAGCCCGCGCCAGGAGGTCGTGCCCCGTGTCTCGCGTCCGCCTCGTCGCGGTCCGGGCTTGGGCCCTCCCGCTCCCAGGGCGGCCCTGGCGTACTCGGGCCCGCGGCGGTGGTGAGTCCCAGAGCCGCCAAAGCTCTTGGGAGGGCGGGGGGGGGGTCCGGTGACGTGGTGCCGTCGTGCCGTGGCCGCGGTGTCGCGGTGTGCAGTCGGCATCACTCTGTCGGCGGCGCGCTTGGGGGTGGAGGCGAGGCGGAGCGGGGCTTCTCAGGGGCCGTCACCTCTGAGGCAGGGATCGCCCCGCTCTCGGAGCGGGCTCTGGGCCTTCCCTCGGGCAGTGGCTTCCGGTCCAGGGGAGGTGGAGGCCGGCGTGGGGCTTTTTAGTTTGTCTTTCGCGATGGCGCCAGAAGTTCGCACCCGCATGTCCCACGGTCGGAAGCTGCCTCGAGTAAAGCACAGAGCTTGTGCAACCCCTATTCTAGGGCCAGCGTTTCGGCCACGAGTGCCGACTACTGCACCAGGCGCCAGTCTTGCTCTGTGCGCCACACGCTCCCTGCTCGAAGTTTTGTATTGTAAGAGTTTGGCTGTAGCGGTGCAGCGGTGTCGAGGTTTGGTGGTATATGGTAGTGTCTTGGTGCTTTGGCGTAGCGGAGTCGGGGCAGTGCCGTGAGCTTGAGGATTACGATTTTAGTATTTCGGCGTCTAGAACTTTGATACGGCGCATCATTTCGAATTCGGATCATGATAATGGAAAGGCTGATGATGATGGTGATGCTTACTCTGGCCGCCGACGACGACAGTGATTATGATGCTGCTGCTGATAATGCTGATGATGACGATGTTGCTGCTGCTGATGATGATGCTGATTATGACGATGATGCTGCTGCTGCTGATGATGATGATGATGGCGATGGTGATGATGATGGTCATGATGCTGTTGTTGCACTTGCTGTCGTTGATGATGATGCTGATGATGCGTTGCTGCTGCAGATGCTGCTGCTGATGATGATAAGGATGATGATTACGATGTTGATGATGATGATGATTATGCTGATTCTGATGATGATGCTGATGATGATGCTGATGCTGATGATGATGATGCTGATGATGATGCTGCTGCTCATGATGATAATCCTGATGATGATGACGATTATGATGTTGCTGTTGCTGCTGATGACGATGATAATGATGATGCTGATGCTGCTGCTGATGATGATGATGACGATGATGATGCTGATGATGATGATGATGGTGATGAAGATGCTGATGGTAATGCTGATGATGAAGATGCTTATGCTGATGATGCTGATTATGATGATGCTGATGATGCTGATGCTGATGATTACGATGCTGATGCTGATGATGATGCTGATGATGACGATGATGATGCTGCTGATGATGATGATGATTCTGATGATGCTGATTATGATGCTGATGACGAAGGTGATGATGATGATGATGATGATGCTGATAGTGATGGTGATGGTGATGGTGATGGTGATGAGGATGCTGCTGCTGATGATGATGCTGATCATGATTCTGATGATGCTGATTATGATGCTGAGGATGATGAAGATGATGATGATGATGATGATGATGACGATGATGATGATGGTGATGATGATGATGATGCTGATGATGCTGACGATGGTGATGGTGATGGTGATGAGGATGCTGATGCTGCTGATGATGCTGAGGATGAGGATGCTGATGATCATCCAGATGATTATGAACATGATGCTGATGACGCTGATGATGATGATGGCGATGAGGATGCTGCTGATGATGATGCTGATGATGATGCTGATACTGATAATCCTGATGATGATGCTGATGATGATGATTATGCATGATCTGATGCTGATGATGATGCTGCTGTTGCTGATGATGATGATGATGCTGATGCTGATGCTGCTGCTGATGATGATGATGACGATGATGATGCTGATGATGATAATGCATACGATGATGATGCTGACGATGATGATGGTGATTGTGATGGTGATGATGATGCTGCTGATGATGATGACGATGATGATGATGATGATGATGCTGATGATGATGATGATGATGATGATGGTGGTGGTGATGATGATGATGATGATGATGCTGATGCTGATGCTGATGATGCTGATGATGATGCTGATGTTGATGATGAGGCTGATGATGATGATGATGATGATGCTGATGATGATGATGATGCTGATGATGATGATGATGATGATGATGATGATGATGATGATGATGATGATGATGATGATGATGATGATGATGATGATGATGATGCTGATGATGCTGCATGCGCTGCTGCTGCTGGTGGTGGTGGTGGTGGTGAGGAGGAGGAGGAGGAGGAGGAGGAGGAGGAGGTGGAGGAGGAGGATGATGAGGAGGAGGAGGAGGAGGAGGATGACTAGGAGGTGGGAGCGGATGAGGGAAGTGATGAGGGGAGACAGAAGGACGAGGTTGACAATGAACACGATGAGGAGGGTCCGAATCAGGATGTAATGGAACAGGAAGTGGAGCAGAGTGTGGGGGATGCGGAGGGGGGAGGAGAAAGGGAGGAGGGAGGCGGGAGGAGGCATGAGGCAGGAGGGAGGAGGGAGGAGGCAGGAAGGAGGGAGGAGGGAAGACGGAGGAGGGAGGAGTGAGGAAGGGCGAGGGAGGAGGGAGGAGGGAGGAGAGAGGAGAGAGGACGGGGAGGGAGGAGGAGGAGGACGTAGAAAGGAGGAAGGAGGAATGAGGAAGGAGGAATGAAGGAGGAAGAAGGAAGGAGGAAGAAGGGAGCAGGGAGGAGGGAGGAGGGAGGAGGGAGGGGAGGAGAGGAGGGAGGGAGCAGGGAGCAGGGAGCAGAGAGGAGGGGATGGGGGAGGGAGGGAGGGAGGGGAGGGAAGGGGAGGGAGGGAGGGAGGGAGGGAGGCAGGGAGGCAGGCAGGGAGGGGAGGCAGGGAGGCAGGGAGGCAGGGAGGCAGGGAGGCAGGGAGGCAGGGAGGCAGGGAGGCAGAGAGCAGGGAGGCAGGGAGGCAGGGAGGCAGGGAGGGGAGGCAGGGAGGCAGGGGCAGGCAGGGAGGCAGGGAGGCAGGAGGCAGGGAGGCAGAGGAGGCAGAGGAGGAGGAGGCAGAGGAGGCAGAGGAGGAGGAGGAGGAGGAGGAGGAGGAGGGGAGGAGGAGGAGGAGGAGGAGGAGGAGGAGGGAGGAGGAGGAGGAGGGAGGAGGGAGGAGGAGGAGGAGGAGGAGGAGGAGGAGGAGAGGAGGAGGAGGAGGAGGAGGAGACAAAGAGGAGCCACGAGGCCCCACTGGGCAGACACTTTTCGTGCTTCGTCTCTGTATCGTGCGCGCTAGGGTTGAAGCGCTGCCAGGATCGATGGCCCGTCGAACGCAGGATAGCCTCTGCGTGCACGCTGGTCATTGAAAGTAGGTGTTTTTGGATATCGGGATCCAAATCTACTTCGTGCGCCTTCATTCTCCAAGACTTGTCATGAGTTTGTTGTCTTTTGTTTCTATTTGGGCGGGCCCGAACCCAACCTACTTTATCAGCCTACTTTTTCCGGCTTGCGTGTAGGTTTGTTTCGTCAGCCCCCCCGCGAGAACGTCGGAACAATTGTTGGCCATCACTGCGCCCTCGTCCACGAAACGAAGGACTTCGGTGGATAAGCGAGCCCCCGTCGCTCTGTTTCATGTCTCCATCTGGACCGATCCGTGAGAACCCCGAGGTACCCAGGTCGGGGCGGGGACGGCCGTCGTGATCGCTCCACAGCCGTCGGATGTCAGCGGACAGCCCGGGCCGAGCACGCGGACAGGAAACGCGGACGACGACGATGACGACAGCGCGACGACGACGACGGACGTCCTCCAGACGCATCTGGAACCTTTCTGGAGTCGGAGGCTTCTGGAGGTCTCTAGAGGGCTCTGGAGGCCTCTGGAGGTCCCATGGGGGAGCCAAGCGTTCCTCGGTCCTCGGCCTCGGTTCCTGGACCTCGCTGCCGACGACTACGACGGCCCACGAGCCGACGGCCGACGGCTCGCGGCCGCGCAAGGACGACGACGGTGACGACGATGACGACGACGACGACGACGACGACGACGACGACGACGACGACGACGACGACGACGACGACGAAGACGACGCCAGACGGCGGCGAGAGCGCGAGAGCGCAGTGCGGCAGGCGGGTGTGCGGGGGGCCGCAGTGCTGGGGCTGTCGCAGGCGGGCCGGGCGGCAGCGGCGGCCAGCGGCTGGCGGCGTTGACCATGGACCATCGCCACCGAGAACCCATCGGTGAGGGGCCGGCCCCGGGCGGTGGCACGCCTGAGCGTCATCTTGCATCGGTGCGACGCTCGGGCGTGCTTGCGCCTAGGGGTCGGCACCCACTGATGAGTTCTCGGTGGTGGTGGTCCGTGTTTCTCCGGCGGCCGAGAACGTTGGCACGGAGGAAAGGGATTTTGGATCGAGGGTGGAGGTTCGAGGGATCATCGGGGGCCGCAAACGGTGAGTCAGTGGGGATTTGGGGTCACCGCCCGGTTTTGGGACTCGGGTCGTTCTCCGAGGGCGCCCCGGGTGATTGGGGCCTCCAAGGTCCCAAAACCGTTTGGTGACGGACCGCGCGGTGAGGTCGTTGGGGATTCCGAGGTCACAACGCGGCTCGTCACCATACGGTTTTGGGTTCCCCGAGATCAAGGGTCGAGGCCTCTGGAACTTTCTTCGCCTTTGGTCCGCCTCCGTGCTGCTTCTCGCTGCCGCGGCTTGGCCCCCGCGAAGATCTTGGTCTGGGCGCGCCTCGAGTGAGGGGGTTGAGGTTTTTTCCAGGGTCGACATGGAGGAAATGGACGGACGGGGCTAGGACGAGGATACATCCGTTCCAGAGCGTTCCTAAACCCTCTCACAGCGTTCTGGAACGCTCTGAGAAGGCCGCGGTGCCCGAGACATCCTCCAGAGCCGCTGGCTCAGAGATTCCCGACTCATCCTCCACCGAATCTATCCTCGTCCCAGCTTCGTCTAAAGGGGTTCCGGAGGAGAGGGGCGTGGGAGCCTTTTCAGCGCTTTCGG